GAAGAAATCTTGTTGAATATGGAAGGGGACTTGCTCCGCCGCCATCTCCGTTTCAATTGCGGTTGCAGCGTGAGTTTCTTGCCCATTATGGCCAAAAGGCTGAGGCAACACAACCTCCTGAACATCACAAGCCTCAGGATTCTCAAACAAAAACTGAACAAGCCTAGACACAAAAAGCTGGCACAGAGCTTCAAATTGATCGGACGGTTCAGATTGACCACCACCTTGTACAAGAACAAAAACGTCGTGGAACAGCAAGGTGATGTTCATGTCTGGTTTCATGCACCCAGTTTTAATGTCCTGCACATAAACTGCATCTATCTGTATGGCTTCGGGCAGTAAGTGGAAGTCCAAGTCATCAAAAAAAGGGATCCCACTTTTGACACGTCACTAACAGTTTGGCTAACGGATGGGGCAAATTGTAAAATTTCCGTGACATTGAGTATGTACTAGTAAATGTCTCTAAAATCGGGTATGAACTCGTAACTAACCCTATAGGTTGGGGGGTATACTGTAGTTTGTCCTAAAAAAAACAATAACAAGAGAGAAGACATGCTATACAGTACTATACACTCAGAATTTGACCGTATGATCAAGCCCCCTTTTTTTTTTCTCGCCCTAGGATATTCTATATCATTTTCCTGTCCAAATAGGTTTTGCTCACTTTCTATTTCAAATAGGGAACCAGGTTCAAAACTTCAATGGTGCGTCCCCGGTTTTTGCTACTTTCTTTGTTGAATGTCTAATCTATTTGGACCCAACTGTTTACTATTGCAACCAATCTATTTGGACAGCTTTACTCTCAGTTTCAAATTCCATTTCTCTTGGTTGCATGTTTCAACTTTATTATGTAGTGTTTTGTGAGTTTTGTAATTTTTTTTTTTTTTTTTTTTTTTTTTTTTTTTTTTTTGAGGTGTTAAATATCATCTCCAAGAGTTTGGTGGTCAAGGTCGTTCACTTGCAAATGAAGTTAAGTTGTTCAATCTTCGTCATTCGTCCTTGAGGAATGTCATTGAGAGGATATTTGGTATATTTAAGTCACGATTTACAATTTTTAAGTCCGCAACTCCATTCCCATATACGACACAAACAGAGATAGTGTTAGCTTTTGTAGGACTACACAACTTTCTTTGAAAAGAGTATAGATTTGACGAATTTCTTGTTGAATTGGACAACGAATCTTCTTTATCTTCATCGTTACCGGTTAATGAAGGGGATCATAAACCAGTTTTTAAACACAAAAACAACGACGACAGAATGCTAATGAATGGAGAGTTGGTATAGCTTTAAATATGTAGAGAGATGCTGGGCACAATGACAACAATGACAATCAAGAATAATGAATGTTAAATATTTTCCTTAAACTTTGCTTTTAAATTTATAATACATTTGTCACTATATTTCTTGTGAATTTATTATGAATTTTACTTTTCATGAAACATAGTTTTGTAGTTGGAGGGGTGCTCTTGTCGGCAGAGAGAGAGACACTTGACAGTGCATCTGTGTGTTTTATTATTTATTTTTCTCTCTCAATCCCTTTCACCTTTAGAGCACTTCTAACGCTACACCCCAGCCTGGGCAGGAGGCCCCCTAGGCCCGTGAAGAGCGCTCTAGCGCACAGCAAGCAGCCCGGGCAGATGTGGGCTTCCCGGGAGCTTCTAGAATGCGGAGGTTATTATGAGGAGGTTATGTGCGGAATGATAACAACCGTCAGTTTCAAATTAATGGTTCAGATTTAAGTGGGAAGTTTTGTTACAACCGGGTTAAAATTACCCATCACAAAATGAGCAACCCGGAACTTCTTTCTCATATCTCCTCTTTTCTTTGAAACAGAGGTCCAAAGTCCTATGTCTGAAACTTCCTCTGGAAGACAAACAATAGCTGCCCCTTTCCAACTTCCAGAAGCCGAATTTGCTACTTCGAAAAGAAAAAAACGAAGACACTCAACTGTGGAGAACACTGCTGAAGGAGAAGGAACAAGGGTTGAAACCCACAACTCAATTCTTTCACTGGTATGTGATTTTTCAGCCCTATTGCAAACCCTTTTATTCAAAAAATATTCTGTTTTGTTAAACCCCTATCATTAATGTTGCAGAAAATGGTTCATCATTACCCATTACAACAACCATAACCTGAGAGCTCTCTTATTCTGTCTTTGTATCACAAAAATCTTTGCAAGATCTTCATAGTAGAGAGAGAAGAAGAAAAAGAGACACATGATATGTTGAAAGAGCCTCCAATAGTCTCTCACTCGCCTAACTTTGCACTCCGTTTCTGAACAAGTAAAACCCAAGTTTTCAAGAACTTGCAGTACTCTTCTTCAAATCCAACAGTGATGGTAAGTTAAACACTCCAAAACCACTTCTCTTTGTTTCTTTGTTTCACTAATTTTGCTTTTAATGTTTTCCAATTTCTTGTAATTATTATTATTTTTTGTTCTCTTTTGTATTTATATTTCATTTGAAAAATTGATTTTTACAGTTTTATTTTATTTTCATACATAAATATTTTTTCTTGCGTTTAACCCCTTATTGCTTTGGGTTTTATTATGATGCCTTTAGTATATTGGGTTTAAGCTTTGTTGAATCAATAATTAATAAATAATGAAAATAACAACACGTTAATCTAATGGTGATCTTTATGGGTCTTGCATACATACAGTAAAAACAAGTTCTCTAAAAATATCTTGGGTTTGTCATGCCTCAATTTATTTTATGACTTTTTAATAATTGATAATCTACTACAGGTTGACACAAGTTTGCATCTTAATTTTCTATATGTGCTCTCATGGAAAAGTTTAATTGAATCAACATGGAGGAGACAATAAAAGGAAAGCAAAAAACGCAAGGGATCAATTTTGCTCCATAACATAGGGGAGTTGCATTCAAATTCTTGGATTTGTTGCCAGTAAGTTTTTTAATTTTTTATATATTATAAATGTCTTTGTTTTCAACTAATGATGGTAAAAAATTTAAATTGCTTTCATAATTATTTTGTTTTGTTTTAGCTATTTCTAAAATGTTTGATTCAAATGTTATCTAAGGTGTCAATAATCTGTGAGTAAAATGGTTGGGGACTCAGAGGAGAATGATGATTGTGTAATGGCTGATGAAATGATTTACATACCTGAAGTCAGAAATGAGGAAAGACCAAAAGTTGGAATGAAGTTCGATTCACTTGATTTCGTTTATGATTTCTACAATAGATATGCGTTATTGGCTGGCTTTAGTATTCGACGTCATTCTAGCGGGAAGGAAAAATACAGTAAAGAAATTCTAAGAAAAGAATTTGTATGTTGCAAACAAGGCGTGTTTAAAAAAGAAGAGCCTAGGGTGATAAAAAGACACCGAGGGATAAGTAGATGTGGTTGCAAGGCTAGGGTTGTTGTTGTAAAGGTTTCTGGGTGTAAGCAGTATGTTTTCTCTCTTGTTGTAGAGGGACACAATCATACGATGACACCCCCAGAAAGAGTGCATTTTATGAGATAACACCGTCATATTTAAGAACCTGCAAAGCTACTCCCAAAAAAACTTGGTTCAGCTGATATACCTACTCATAAAAAGATGAGTATTTTGGAGGTGCAATCTGGAGGAATGGAGAAAATTGGTTTTACCAAAAAAGATATTTACAATTTCGAATATTATGAGAGTAGCCTAATGAAGAACCATGATGTTGAACTGGTGACTGAGTATTTTTTAGCTGAACAGAAAAACAATAGATCATTTTATTTCAAGATTGAGGGAGATTCCAATGACAGGCTTACTCGATGTTTTTGGGCAGATGCAACTTCTAGACGAGCATATGGGTTTTATGGAGATGTTGTCGTGCTCGATACCACATTCAACACAAACCGATATGGCTTGCCATTTGCACCAATGTTGGGGGTTAATAATCATGGTCAGACAATTATTTTAGCTTGTGCATTTTTAAGTAAGGAAACGACTGAGTTATTTATTTGGATGTTTGAGGAGTTTAAGAAAGCCATGCCAGGTGGTGAGCCAAAAATGATCATTACAGATCAAGATGCAGCTATGGCTAGAGCGATTTTTGAAGTATTCCCCACTACATTTCATCGACTTTGCATATGACACATCACAACCAAGTTCTCTGATAAACTACCACGGACTGTTTATGAGGAATATTGGAAAGATTTTAAGGAAACCATCTAGGAGATTGACAATATAGATGAATTTGAAGAAAAATGGCATGCAATTGTTACAAAATCTGGTTTGACTGATCATCCATGGCTGAGTTCAGTTTTTGATTTGCGAAAATCATGGGTTCCAGCCTATGTAAAACATATTTTTGCTGCTGGAATGTCAAGCAGTCAGAGAGCAGAAGGCTCTCATGCATTTTTCAAGCAATATATATCAAGGAGAAATTCATTAATGGATTTCATAACACGATTTCAAAGGGCACTTTCCCATCAACGTCAAAATGAGTTACTTGCTGATCACATTGATGCATTTGAAAAGCCTCAATGTGCTTTATTGATGACAATGGATAAACAAATGGTTGAAATATACACAAAGGCAATGTTTCAAAGGTTTGAACATGAGCTAATGCAAAGTTTACCGTGTTTTATGGAACTGAAAATGGATGACGCTTCCAAAGCTATCTATAAAGTGAGTGAAAGGAAAAGGGGGAAAACAAGAGTGACAGAAGTTGTATATGATAAATATTCCGATCAATGGTCGTGTAGCTGTAAAGGATTTGAATTTATTGGAATTCTTTGTTGCCATGCGCTGGCATTGTTAAAAAGGGAGCAAATTGAATATCTGCCCAATAAATACATTTTGAATAGATGGAAGAAAACTACAAAATCTGGACTTGTGTCAGATTCAAATGGCAATGAAATTAAAGATTGTGAGAACAATTCTCTCCTAATAAAACGAAGTAGAATGTCCAGACTTGCTTCAGATGTAATTGAGCATGCCTTAATGTCCGAAGAAGGTTGTGAGCTATTGTCGAATAATCTAAACGATACGAGGGTGACATTGGAGTTATTGAATGATGGGGTTGCTCCTAGTGAAGTTGGAGGGTCCAGCTCCCAATCACGATATTTGAAGGACCCTAAGAGAGTAACACACAAAGGAAGCTCGAAACGAGTCAAGGGAGCAAAGGAAAAGAGAATGGAGCGAGGGATCCGACATTGTCAGCAATGTGGACAAACTAGTCATGATATAAGACGATGTCCAAGAATGGCGAACACAACGTAAGATTGTACAAATATTTATAAATAATAGCTAAAATTCCAAGTGGTTTATTTTATTGTAATATTATGCTTGGTGTTTATGCAGGACATCCCCGTCAAACAATGAAGAATCAACTCCGATCAATCTTAGTGACCCGTTATTCGATGAATTTGATAGCATGCACGGACCTACCAAGTGATTATGTTTTTACTATACGAAGCTCATCAATATTGGTGAGCATTTTGAAATATGATTCAATATGAAGAAATCTTATTATTTTGTGTTGTTTCGTTTTGTATCAGCTTTTGTGTTTTTTTTCTTGATTGATTTTGGTTTTCTTTGAATTTTTTTTGTTTCTTGATTGGTGGTGTTAATTTTTTGGAGCATTTCTTTCTTGCTTTCTTTTGCCTTTGTATTTTTCTAATGTTAGGTGTTTTAGGATTTTTCTTTCTTTTAAATAATCTCCCTCTTGAGATATTTGACAATTCTTTTTTTATGGCAGTTGGACCTAGATTTTTGGCTTATGGAAGATTGTTGTCATTGAGAACCTTCACCAATTTGGCTTTTTTTTATGACAGTTGGACCTATCAACTCTTAATTTTGACAATGCGCATGAAAGGCTGCCACATCCTTTTTTGAGAAAAGACATTATATACATTCGGTGTATATTGCGTGTATATTTTTAGTCCATTGCTTGTTATTGCAAGCTTATTAATTGTGCATTGATTGTTCATTGTCTTTGTATAGCCATTTATTGCCTTTTATGATAATACATTGGAGGTAATACAGTGGCAATATAAAGGCAATTAGGGGCAATGCAGTGGCAAAATGAAGGCAATTGGAGGCTATATAGTGTCAATACTAGGGAAATAGGAGGCTATACATTGGCAATACAAAAACTCCAATAGTCCACGATTTTGTAAACATTGCTATCTGAAGGATTCATGAAATTTGTGATAAGGTTATGAGATTATTTTGTACTAGTTATATGTTGTTTGTATTTGTTCTTCTGCTACTTTTGCTATCTTTCTTTATATTATATGTTTGTAGAATCCCTCAAAGTAAACATATACTGAGGAAAAAAAAATTACAGTGAAGATATAATCACTCATATAGACAAGGAGAAATATTATGTGATTGGACAATGCTTCTGATTGATGTGTGAGGCTTTTCAAAAAAAGTACACCATCATTTTATGTGATTGGACATGATAGAGATACTTTATTGATTCCCCATGCGGCGTCATATTGACAACTTATTGAACACCTTTGACGTGTTCAAAGATTTAGACACACGCACCCATGATGACTTCAAACCATTGTCCAAATATTATATATATAGATTATTATAATAAAACAGATACTTTTACAGCCTTATATATGAAAGGAAACTAATACTTGTATTGTTAAAAATTAGATAATGAACATTAAGGAAATATACTTGTAATGTTGGTTATTGCAAAATATATTTTTATGGTTGAAAGGAAAGTGAGTTATCAAAAAATTCTGAACATTCACGGGAGATGCTTGTTGATGTAGGTTATTGAAGTTGAAGTTAACAAGGATATATAACTAGGGTTGAGAGGAAAGTGAGTTATCAAAA